CTGTAAGTGTCGTTAGACCCTGTGAAATCCATCTAGTTATTTAAACTATTACTACCACGCGTTACAATAAAATATTTATTATTATTAACTATTACCATCACTTGGTCATACATAACTCAATAAGTTGTTGCGCCAAAATTAAAACATTATTACAATTTTAATTTTATTATGACAAATTAATTCTTAAACATGCATATGAACAACCAAAACGCCCACTAAATATTCTTTAAAAAATTTCAGTAAATGTTCAAAAACATTTTCGTTTTGGCAAAGTTAAAAATGAAGATCAGCGTAATATTATCGGAATTTATTATATCTGTAACTGCAATTGTGAAAGAGCATGTCAGATGTATTTGTATGAATATCCTGAAAAAAATAGATCGAAATTTGTTTGAATTTTGAGCACTCGAGAAGCCTAGAAATAACTGTGGAAACGGAAATACAACTCTAATAATGATATTATTTTATTGCGTGGTGGTAATAATTTAAATAACTAGATGTATTTCACAGGGTCTAACGACACTTACAGTGTACGATAATTCAATAAACAAAGAAATTTAAATAAAAAATTTAGATAAATTTGGAACGAATACACTGAAGATGAATTTTTCGGGACAAAACGTCTGAATCTGGTTCGGGCTGAGGAGTACAGTATTGGGAATCATGAAGGCTTGCAAAAAATGTAACAAAATATCCAGGGTCGTATTTAAAAAAATTAAGTTGACGATGATCCTGGAGAGACGAAACGTTACATATAAAAATTGATTATGCCATTCGATAGAGGGCAAAAAGTGGTCATGAGAAAGTGTTCTTCTTTTTTCAATATCACCTCAAATAAGGCTGAAATTAAACAAGAACGGCTTTCCGAAATTTCGTTTTCATTTTCAGATATTTCGAAAACTACTGATGATAGCCTTGATTTTTTAGAGGCATAATGTTGGTTCCCTGATTACGTAACTTTGCCCCCATTTAAGGTACTTCGTAGCTCTTACCGTTTCCGAGATCCCTGTAGTGAGAAGCGAATTTTTAACAGACTGTAATATGGTAGTTTCCATATGTATTCAACGAACAAAAAAAATCGACCTCCTCGATTTTCGATCGATCGATCGATCGTTCAATCGAAACTTTGGGATGTAAATCTACTTTGATTTTTTTTGTTTTTCCAAAAAAAATTTTTAGAGCTCTGTGGCGCCATGTCAAAGTTTACATAAATGAAAATGCATATTTTTTTCAAGTGACCGTCATTTTAACCCAAATTATCTTATCGAAACGTTTTTTTTTTTAATATGCAGGATTTTATCAGCTTTTAACTGTATTTTTTTTTCAGCATTCAAATTGCTTTAAAACTTTCTGAAATAAATGAGAGAAACTTCCCGAACGGAGCAAGTTGGCATATTGCCGCTTGGCTAAGAGATCGCTTATTTGGCCTTGAAAAACATATCCAAATTTGGTGAAAATAAATGGTGGGATTTTTGAGAAAATCAATTTTGGAAAAAAATGACTTCTTTCCGTTTTTCTCATTAATCTCACAAAGTTATAAAGCAATTTGAATACTGAAAAAAACAGGAAAAAGCTGATAAAATCATACACATTTTGGGAAAAAAAGAACGTTTGGCAAGATGATTTGAGTCAAAATGTCGGCCACTTAAAAAAATATGCATTTTGGAAACTGTATCTCCCGAACGAAGCAAGTTGGCATATTGCCGCTTGGCTAAGAGATCGCTTATTTGGCCTTGAAAAACATATCCAAATTTGGTGAAAATAACAGGTGGGGTTTTTTGAGAAAATCAGTTTTGAAAAGAAAACCTTTTTTCGGTTTTTCTCATTTATCTCAAAGTTGTAAAGCATTTTGAAAAAAAAACGTTTCGATAGGATGACTTGGGTCAAAATGACGTCCACTCGAAAAAAATATGCAATTTCATTTTCACGATGTAAATTTTGACATGGCCCAGAGCTCCAAAAATTTTTTTCGGAAAAACAAAAAAACACGTGTCCCTTAAAATTCAAAGTACAAGGATGGCTATAGTAAAGACGTTTCATAATCTGAATAGTCATCGCCCGTTTCGCGTTCTTTTCGGATTTCTATGACTTATTTTATCGCTCTCACGTAACGGCCGATGTACCATGGGGACTTTCCGAACCTGTATATGACTTTTTGTTCCATAAAACTCAGTCCACGTACGGAATTTTAGCAAAATTGTACTAAGGTAAGTTTATTTTGATCCAAAGAATTGGTAATAAAATTGTGAAAAGACCATTTAGAGACACACAATATCATTCCGATCGGACTACCCCTGCGCTCAGCGGTTGCGACCGAGAATTACACTTTAAAGGTTGTATATTTTTTGGATAAGTTGTGCTGTTACCTATATATCACCAATAATTGATGCAATGTAAGTCTGTATTTATTACAAACTTACATTGCATTTGTTTAGCATTTTTTATGTTAAATTAAAAATATTTAATATTAAAATATTATAAAATATCTAAATTTTGAGTCTCCTTGTTTGTTTCTTCTTCTAATTTGTGAAGTGGCAAAAGGAACAATAAGGTTCATAACCATAGTTACGAGGCGAAATTAATTAATAACAATTTCACAGTAGGTAATCAAATAAATTGCTCCCATTGTATTTTAGTTTCCTGAGGAATATCCCTTCCCATAAATTCATATTAGAAAAATGAAATTAAACGGCAAATAAAAATCTGGAGCTTCCAGAGCTTTATTGAAGTCAAGTTTTTAGTCTTCAGTTGAATAATTTCTGACCTAAATAACAGACGAGCAGTTGAAATTAAATATTGCAGTGCTTTATAGAACGCCGTTTAATTTACTTTATGAATTTAATATTTGAACTTTTCCTTCATAAAGTCATGTAATCGTTCAAAATTAGTTGCAGTAATATGGAACACAAGAAAGTGAATTTAATTACGTACTTTAAAGGTTTGGATTTACAACTTCGTAAATTGAAATATGTACAAGCGTATTCACATTCTTATGTTTTGCGTTTAGAAAAATAAACTAGAGTATTTTAGGTAAATTTCTTGCGATCTCAAATAAATATACAAAAAAAACTTATTATTCCATCTTAAGGAGGTATATCGGGGTCCGAGGGAAGTGAGGAGCGCAGGGGGGGTCCTATGCTTTTCTTATGGGACTAAAACCCGCTGCCAATTTGAAAAAATTAAATTCTATCGAAATTATTCGAGATAAACATTATCTATATAGCAAAGAAATCTACTCATATGCACATAGCGTACATAAAAATATATTTAAGTAGTTTTAAATTATATTTAATGAACGCATAAAGACTATGTAGATGTGGCAACAGCGCTAATAATTGACTAGCAGTTGTACACACTGCGAACCTACAGACCTCGGACATCGGAGATATTGCGCGTCAAATTCGGGTAAAGATGCGTACGCGTTCAAAAATGTATTGTGTGTAAACTATGTACAATATAATTATTATATATAGCAAATATATCGTATTATCCTCGCGAAGATTTGTATCCTTTATTTAAAATCCGTAAATCATGTGAACTGGTAAAACAACGAGAATTATGTTAATTTAGTTCTAAAGAAATGAAATGACACTCGCGCCCATCTCTCGTCCAAGTCAAAGAAAATGTTGGATGCAATTTTGAAGGTTCTGTGATAGAAATTACATTATTACTCACTGTTCGTGTTTTTAATCTCTATTTTAGTAATGTTACAAAAGTTTTGCAACTATAACTAATTTTTTAGATATAAAGTTTGCTGAGAAATATTTATGTTCCTTTGTTATTCCGTACAAATGCTTTTATCTCAAGTATTACTAATTATATTAATCAAGTAAAGAAAACTTTATGTAACCCTAAATATTGCTGGGTAATGATTACGATGTTTTTATAAACCATTAAATATATTAAAAGGATTTATCAACTGTATTTTTTATTCCAATAAATATATCACAGCTTCCTAGTCTTTTTTAATTAATCTAGTTTTTTAAAAACATTACAAAAAATCATCTGTTGTGGATAATTTATTGTTGATAACAATGTACATGGGATTTAGGAAAAATGTATATGTTTGAAATCAATTTCGTTTTTATCAAGTCTTTCAAATGTATTCCCTCCTTGCTGTCAGCTGATTGCGACGTTGCCACATTAATCCTCAAGTCAGACAGAAATGCAATTATTGGTTTCTGTTTCTAATTAATACAGCTGTACTATGTTCAAAACTTACATTAGTTTTACATCAAAAATAAGATAATACTGTGTACTATCTATGGAAAAGTTTTGTTTCACAATTTCTACATTTTTTTCTCAGTTATGGGCAAAAAAAGAGCCGCACCGTCCATCTTCGCCATATAAACCTATGTTAAAATGAACAACTTTCAACAACAATATCTCAAAATCTAGATTCAAAAAAAATTTCAAAAAAATATGACGCACAGAGGGAGCACTGGGTAATACGCTATATAAATTTCAAGTACATCTGTGCATTTGAGTAAACCCGATATACCTCCTTAATTATTTAAATGGTTTTAAAAAATGAAGCATATTTCGTTATTTGATAAACCGTGGACAGAAGATTCAAATGAAGTTATACTAAGTGATTTGATTTGTCTCCTTTACTTTCAAGATTTATACATGGTGTTCTAAAAGCTCTATGACACATAGAGGGAGACAAGTAACTGCTTGATTAAAAGATCATTTCCTCAATAAATGGATAGATCAACAAGGTCCAATAGCATGGCCACCGTGTTCTCCAGATCTAAATCCTTTGGACTTTTATTTACATGAAAGAATTCAGGATGCTGCTAACCAGATAAGAAATTATCCAAATCTCATCCGTCCAATGACGAAATCTTTTTTTTAAATTAACCCAGCTAAAATCTGTCTAAGTTAAAGCTTGTAGAACACCCTGTATAAAAACAAATCTGCCTATGAGACATGACCTGAACTGCTTTTTTTTTGTTCGTAAAATTTCTAAAGTTAATACTTTATTTCTGTGTTTTTAGGGAATTGAAGTACCGTCGAAATGGGCAAAAGGACTGCAATAAATTTAATGTACAAGACTACGTGAGAGAACAAACTCAAAAATCACAGTGCCCACCATGTACTACTTAATAAACACCAAAGAGATAATAACACTCAACAATTAGGCAAAGCGACCTTTCCAAAAGACATTTAATAGGGTACTGCCAGCCCTGTAGTTCATTTTTATGCACAAAATAGAACCAAATAACTTTAATATACCTACATAGTAATTAACACATTTGGTTTGAGATTTGTCAGTGTTTACGTTTACGTGATAAAATATCTAGTCTAGTCTCAACAGAATAAAAGTAAACACCAAGATGCTAAAAATTAATTCGAGATGTAAAGTGTTCTGCTACGTCGGTGTGCTTTTACCGGATTTTATGTAACTTTCATATCTTCAGGATATACCCAGTTACTACATTGACTGACTTTAGCTTAAAGAGAATATATATTTAGAGGCTATATATACTGTCACATGTAAATTTCCTAAAATAAGATACAAGAGACTCTTACTTTTGGAAATTTACATTTTCGATAATAATTTATTAAGTATTAGGTATAAAATATAATTTTGTATTATATTATAGACTATTTATAGCAAAATATTATATACATATTGTATTAGGGTTAAAGAGGCTGTAATAATGCAAATTAAGTAATCGTATCAGCAAAAAATTATCTTATAAAGCGTTCTAAATATTTCTTTTCGTGTGCCTCTATTATTACACCTAATAAGAATTGAATAGTGAAATTTCCCGAATCTTGAAAATGTTATATAAGTTAAAAGCTAAATTTGGCGCGATATTTAAAAGTAACGACACCGGCGACATCTACACAAATATTGCGCAAACCAAAGAAAAAACAATTCTGTATCTGCCTACTGCAATTTATTTTCCAAAGAAACTAAGGCAAGCAAGGATTGGCTGAATTTATTGTGGGGCCTCTGTAGCTGATTTGATGCATTTGTCAATTTCCGTTTTTTCAAAAATAATTCCCTGCCCCAAAGAAAAAAACAAAACAATATCCAATAAGTAAGTGTTCATAAATTCAGACCTCGGATGATCGACAATAAATAATTAATGATGTCTGTCGGTGGTACTCCACCAGTAAATGTTGAAATACTTTGTCGAACAGCCACTACCGCTACTGCTTTTGCTGTTTTATTGGGATACAATCAAAAATAAGTATCGTATTCATGAACGCAACCAATCTGTTTAATACAGTTAAGCTTTATAACTTAACACACATAATATTTAAATTTTCCTACGAACATACTTCCAGATATAGAATGGATTTTCCATGGATATGAAAACTAATATTGTCTACCACAATACAGGGTGTCCCGAAACTAATGCAACAAAATTTGGTCACAGATTCTTAAGACAAATTTATGGGACCTGCATTTTTTATTTTTGCCAAGCGGCCCCCTCTTTTGAAGTTACAGCCCCTTGAAAGAGTGACTGCAAAAAAACTGTGATTTTCGCCCGTTTTTTCACAATTCGCAGAGAATTAAAAAAAATACATAAAAATATGTTTTTGGTCGCAAATTACTTGTCATAAAAAACTGAAATGAACATAGCTTTTAGTATTATGAAAATTTAAAAAATCACCCCTACTTAGGGGCTAAAAAAATGCCAAAAATTAAGAATTTTAATATTACCAATTGATATAAAAACTATTAGCATGTGAATTATTGTAATATATTTTTTTTGTAAATTTTACAATTATTTTTGATATTCTCTATTTTTGGGGATGATTCCACCACCCAACATGCTTATTTCAGTCATGACAATAAATCTTTCTTTGTATCAAGAATCATTCGATGGTAATAGTTTTTATATTTATTGGTAATATTCAATTCTTAATTTTGGGCGTCTTTTTAACCCCCAAATAGGGGTGATTTTTGAAAAATTTAAAAAAACTAAAACCTATGCTCATCTTAATTTTTTACGACGAGGAATTTGAGACCAAAAACATATTTTTATCTATTTTCTTTAGTTCTCTGCAAATTGTGAAAAAACGGGCGATTTTTGCGGTCACTCTTTGCCCCTAAGAATAGTCTTTTTTTTTGTATCTCAGAACCCTGTTTTACTAGAATTACTAATATTAGTACAAAAGGGTTTATAGTCCCATAGAAAGCCATCAAAATTTAGAAACTTTTTTGTCTCTTGATACTTTTTTCGTAAAATGCAATGTTTTCGAGAAAAATGTCAAAATACGATGGAATGCATATCGCGATTCGCCATTTTTCTCAAAAACATTGCGTTTTCAAAAAATATATAAAAAGGGACAAAAAAGTTTCTAAATTCAATGGCTTTCTAGCGAACTAATAATTTAAAAAAAAATTCAAATATGCGACCAAATTTTTTGGTTCCAAAAACAAAGGGGGGGGGGGCACGAGAAAGTGTCTTAAGGGGGTTCCCCGCCAAAAAGCACTATCAGATTCGACATGTCATAAAACCCTTGTGTACCAAATTTAGTGACTCTTGTACTGTGCCGAGATATAAAAAAGACTATCTTAGTGGCATATTTCAGGGGGCTGTAACTCCAAAAGAGGGCGACACTTGGCAAAAATAAAAAATACGGGTCCCCTAAATTTGTCTTAAGAATCTATGACCAAATTTTGTTGCATTAATTTCGGGACACCCTGTATAACGTCCTTTTTATCTTTAATCCTTAATGGTCAATTAAGTGAGATTTTAAGAAGTCGCAGATAACGCAGATAAATAGAACCCTTCAATACTTGTTATTAGTTAAAAGTTTTTTGTCAGTATAGAATAGTTTATTGACTGTTAATTGTTCAAGAAAATAGCCAAATTTGTTGAAATAAAGGTTTGACATATAGAGTTTATGTTAAATGTTGTTAAAGTAATAATTTCACATCAGCCACTAAGTAACTTTGTGTAAAATTTAGTTTTTTGATCGACACACTTTTTGCGTCGATAAATATTTTCAAATTCAGTTTATAATTCGAATTAGATATAAATATATTTGTTTTCTTTACTGTCATATCATTAATCTCTCTGTAAACTTACCATCACCAGGAAAGATAATTTATTTATTTTATTTGTCAATTACAATCGGTTTCATTTCAGTTATCTAAGAACTTCTTGCAAAAATAATGTAAAAATATTGAGCAATATTTAAAAAAATATAAATTACCTAAAAATTGCAACTTAATTTCAAATTTTAAAGCTATAACATTAAATATTTTTAACTTTTTACCATAAAATACGAACAAGAATGTTTATGTATTCGACAACTAGTCAAACTTAGGGATAAGAGTACTAGATGGCAACACTAAAAAGTCCCTATTAGCTATTAAAGATAGGCTGTCTACTGTAAGAGGGCCACTTCTATGGATCTCGATTAATATACGACATATGTCAACAATATTTTGTTTTTTGTTGCATTTTTTGAGGCGTTTATGCTCGTAAAAACAAATTTGAGATCCATAGCCAACTTTGTGAGTAATCATAAAAAAACCGGAAAAGTACCGAAAGTTTAGGTCCATCCAACTTTTTTATTTTAAGAGATAGAGATAAAGAAGTACATTATATTCCTTAAATTTTTTGTAGTTAGCATGTTTAAAACAATTTCTACATTAATCTACATTTTTGATACCAAAATTATAAAAAATATAATAAATGTAAAAGATAAAGGCGACATGTAGTACATCGCATGAAAAAGGAAAAAACAAGCAAGTTTTTGTATCCAGAGCGTGCTTCGATGACAATTTTTTTTGTCCGAGTAAAGGGCGCATCAAATTGCATACGATACTTGAAAAATTTGTTTACACCAGGTGAAAGATATCAATTTTGCCATGAAATTTTATTAAAATAAGTTTTCTCTATCTCTTAAAATAAAAAAGTTAGATAACCCTAAACTTTCGGTACTTTTCCGTTTTTTATTATGATTATTCATAAAGTTGGCCATGGATCTCAAATTTGTTTTTACAAGCAACAAAAATTGCAACAAAAAACTAAGATTTTTAACGTGCATCGTGTATTAAGCGAGAAACATAGGAGTGGCCCTCTTATAATAAACAGCCTGTATATTTTATTGAATGTTGTCGTCTAGTACTTCTCTTTTATAAATTTGACTGGTTATATAAACAAAACTTATAACTTTATTTAACAATTAGCGTTTTTTGGTGAGAAAACCACTAACTATGGTTAACTGGGGTTCGACATTTCTCCAACCCACTTAGTTTATAGCAGAGGTCTTCAAACTTTTACGACTTGAGGCACCCGGCCAACATTTCGATTTTTTGAGGAACCCCACACCTAAAAGAATGTTCGAACACATTTTTACTATTTGTATAATATATTTATAAATACTAGTTTTAAGTAAAAGTATAAATATTTTATAATTTTGTAGTATCCAAATTATTTATTTCAAAATTTTGAATTTTTGACTGAACCGCGGAGTCCCTAGGGAGGTTATAGGGAACCCCAGGGTTACACGGAACACAGTTTGAATACCGCTGGTTTATAGGTTTTGGTCGGATTTCTTTCTGTGTAGGATTGTACGTATATTAATGATAATTTAAATAAGTGGCTGTATATTCCGCACAAACTAATTAAATTAAATTGAAACTTGTGATTATTGAAGTTAGAAATATCTAGACCAAAACCAAAAGAATTTTTGTGAAATCTGTCAAGTGGTTAACTCAAACTCCTGACACAAGCAAACTTGAGCTAACCGTGTTAGATGTGGTTTGGACTGCCAAAAAACGCTACTAAAAATATAGGCCGTCAGTACAGTTCTATAACTTCAATACAGAGCAGCGAATCAGAACTTTTTCTTACATTTCTTATTGTAATAATGTTAATGGTGTATTGGAAGTATTATAAACTTAACATATATTATTTGAGTATAATAGGATCATATTCGATGCAAAGTAATAAATCATTGCCTGTCAAGGGATCCAATGCAATACGCTTTTAAGGGGATTAGAAATTGAATTGTTCCTACAAAAATTCCATTATTCTCATAAACTATTTATTTTTAATGTAATTTATTATTAATCCGATTTGTTTTATAAATTCCACATATGTACTACATTTTACCTCTGTACGCGCCACTGTTGTTTACTTGTTTTTTGGAGGCGCTCATGATTTACAACCAAGCTCGCCAGGTTAGTATTTGACGTATAACCGACCTCTTCGTACACTCAATGCACCTGGGCGACTACAGGTACTACCAGAACACAGTGCGTATGCAGCGGTATTTCAGATTTTACATTCAATTTCATTTTAAATTTGAAATGGTTCATCTTACGCCTCCTAAAAATGATGACACAATTTTCCTTTGATAAAAGACCGACAATTTTTTGCTCTACTTTGCATCGAATACGATCCTACTATACTCTCAAGAATGACCCCACTGACCAATTATACTTTACTGAACCCGAAGTTACAATAAAATCATATCTGTAAATGATATTAATATAAATAAAGGAATATATTACTCAGCTGGTTTCATTAATTCCA